GACAAATTGAAGGGATTCCTGGAAGTTCATGCCTCAAGGAGATACAAAAAATTGTTCTGACAAGTACAGCCCACACCTTACGAAGAGCTTTATCTATGTAATCTTTTTTTTTTTTTTTTTTTTTGTCCGTGGAAGTGTCATGATACCATTTCTAACCTTAGGTCCCTGGGTGGGACCCGGAAAGAAATGTGTAAACGCCAGAAATCAAAGAAAATAATAATAATAATAATAATAATAATAATAATGTTTACGCAATTGTTTTATGGACTGATGACAGATGACGACCCAAAATTTGGTACCTTGTCATTTTCTGGGCATTTCCATTATTATTGTCTTCTTTTTCTTCTTCTATTTCTTCTTCTTATTATTATTTTGGTTATTCAATTTTAATTCTTATTCCCCAATAAGTTCTTCTTCTTCTTCTTCTTCTTCTTCTTCTTCTTCTTCTTCTTCTTCTTCTTCTTCTAATAATAATAATAATAATAATAATAACAATAATAATAATAATAATAAGAAGAAGAAGAAGAATAGGAAGAAGAAATTTTCGTTTGTATATATTTGTATTACTGCTTTCTGTTAATATATTTATTTAATTCAGTTACTGTCTTTGTGTTTTTATTACTGGCCCTATCAAGGCCACAACATATAGAAAGATAGACAGATAATGTACAGACTGAGATAAATAGTGTTATCGTTATCTACCCATGCACGCATGGATTTTCCCAGCTATAAATAGGAGCAGGTACTGCCTTTTGAGAGGGAAGTTTCCAGCAGTCAGCTCTGACAGTCGGACTGAACATTCTTGCTGTAACACTCTTGTTTGTATATGTTTGTATTACTGTTTCAGTTAATATATTTGTTTAACTCCAGTCCTCTCTTTGTGTCTTTATTTCTGGCTCTAACAAGGCCACAACAGTTTTGTTTTAATAAAATACACAGTGAAAATTCCATGATGCCATTTCTGGCCTAAGGTCCCTTGTTGGTATCCCGGAAAGAAGTAGGTCTACAACAGAAATCAATGGACATAATAATAATAATAATAATAATAATAATAATAATAATAATAATAATGAAATAGAAGTCTCGAAAATGTGGCATATGGGAGCATCAACAATCCCTGTTATAGTTGGAGCCCTAGGACTGGTTGGAAAAGATTGCAGTAGACAAATTGAAGGGATTCCTGGAAGTTCATGCCTCAAGGAGATACAAAAAATTGTTCTGACAAGTACAGCCCACACCTTACGAAGAGCTTTATCTATGTAATCTTTTTTTTTTTTTTTTTGTCCGTGGAAGTGTCATGATACCATTTCTAACCTTAGGTCCCTGGGTGGGACCCGGAAAGAAATGTGTAAACGCCAGAAATCAAAGAAAATAATAATAATAATAATAATAATAATAATAATAATAAATGCGCGCATACAACAGAAGCGGTCAGTGCGGTAACAATACATCGTTATGTAGACGTTAACTTTATGATTTGAAATACGAATGAGCCCCGAAAAGTTGGTGTGATGATTGGCAAACTATTGACTATGAACTGCCTATATCATCCAAATCCAGATATAAATGGATTATATCTACCGACAAAGCACATTGATAAAGAACCTTGTCAATTAAAAGTTTCCTTGAAGTTGACGACTGTAGGGCTTAATAAATACTTGTAACGGAACAAAGAGTGCTACTCAAACACTGACCAAATGTATTTACCCTCTTTTAGAGGTACCTGCACAACAGGCGTCGGAAATGGAATTAACCCACAATAATGTCCAAAACAGCAAAGTGAACAGCAAAGGTAAAAAGATTGAAAAGAAAAGCAAAAGGCAAAGTCTAAAAGAAATCGAGTATAAATGGAAAAAAATAAGCCACTTTCTGGAAAATAACCGCAAAAGTTAAGTGGCTATGAACTATCATTAATTCTTCACAGTTGTCCTAAAATTTAGGACGGAAAGATTTATGGTTTCAGTACAAGATCAAAGTCTATACAACTAGAAAATATCAGTATAACATTCCAAGAAATGACGTCAACTCCTATGCAGAATCTGTGGCTTGCTTCCAAGAACTATTGACCATTTACTGTCATACTTCACGCTCTTAATTCCAACAGAAGACACTCCACGTCTTGACAAATTGCTAATATATTCACTGGAAAATAGGTGGCAAGTAAAACTTAAAGCGGAGAAAAAAAAAATGATGAGAACGCACACCAAATTCTAGGACATCTCTAAAACTCTGTCCAGGATTCATTATTGATATCCACAATTTTAACAAGCCATGCAGATGAGAAAGTGTTGCTAGCAGACACAGAATGCTACAACAATTCCTACAAATGGTAGTGATGGAAAACGAGAAGAAATTTTTGTCCCTTGCCGGGTGAACGTGCTCGGTTCCACAAATAAAAAAAATGACCTTGTGTCACATCTCGTTCTAGGGGGGGGGGCGAGTAAATACCGCGAAAAGAAAGGATTAAACATCAACTGTAGGAAGACAGAATGCATGGTTGTTAACAAAAGGATGAATCCGAAGTGCGAATTTAAATCAGAGGTACCAAAATCAAACCAGAGCGAAAATTTAAATATCTGGGAAGTGTTTTAACAGAGGACTGAAAGTGTGACACTGAAATCCGAAGGCGTATTGGGATAGCCAAAGATGCCTTTCAAAAGCTAAGCAGAGTAATAAGAATTAGAAAATTTCAAATTCCTAATTCCTGGAGTTTCCTAATCCATACATTAACCGCTAAAAGATGACAAATTCTCACATTCCGATAAACGCTGGTGAAGTTATATAATAAACACTAAGACCAGAATTTATTTCTTTGCGTGAAGTCTTTTAGTTTTATTCGGTCGGATACCTGTGTTTTATAGAGTTCGATAAATTACGCCACAAAGATCTACTGGAATTGCTCAGCAAGCTTCATATGTTTGGAAAAGGCACAAGAATGATCAATAAGCTATACAGGCAGCAAACTATAGATAGAAAAAGAGTTCAATACATATACAAAAATAGAAAGTGGTGTAAGACAAGGATGAGCCTTCTCACCGGACTTATTCGACCTATACAACGAGAGAACTAGAAGACCTACCATGATCCATTATTGGCGGCCACAAACCTGAAAACATAAGGTATGAAGATGACACGGTGTTGGTAGCAGACACGAAAGCTGCAAAAACTCCCACAGAAATTAGTAAAGAAAAGCAGGAAGAAATGATTAAACCTAATCTGTAAGAAGAGAGAATGCATAGTTGTTAACAAAAGGAGGAACCCGAAGTGCGAATTTAAATCAGAGGTACCAAAATCAAACCAGAGCTGAAATTGAAATATCTGGGAAGTGTTTTAACAGAGAACGGAAAGTGTGACACTGAAATCCGAAGGCGTATTGGGATAGCCAAAGATGCCTTTCAAAAGCTAAGCAGAGTAATAAGAAATAGAAAATTTTCAATAGAAACAAGGAAAGAGTATTAAACTACTACGTAATATCTGTGTGCTTGTATATGATGAAGTAACAGAAATGGGGTTCTACAGAAGGATGCTGAGGATACCATAGACCGAACATTTGAGTAAAATTTTGTATAAAATGGAAACAAAAAGTAATAATACCTAACATCAGGAAGAAACACATGGAATTTCTAGAGCTCATCCTGAGGAAAGTGGTCTTGGAAAATGTGATGCTCACAGGGCAGATTGAAGATAAGAGGGGCAGAGGAAAACAACAACATACTTAGTTAGCTTGAGTAAATGGATGGCGGAACAGAGTTTATTGGACATGACAAAAAGACAAAATTTATTAAGAGTTACAGGAAGTTGTGGAGAGCCGTGATTGCCTACGTCTTAATGGGACACGGCCCATAAAGAAGAAGATATATGTTTTAAATAATCCACAAAAGGTGTTGATAAGCCTTTAAAAAAAATTATTCAAATTAATTTAATTTAAGATATGCAGATGAGAAAGTGTTGAGAGCAGACACGGAAAGAAAGCTACTTCTTGGAGGGATTTCATATTATTTATCATCACTCAGGGGCGACTCCGTCAAAGGACAGAGTCGAAACTGAGGAAGATTATACTGAGGGGTGCCTGGCCCTGGGGAACAGCTGCCCGAGGCCGCAACTTCTCATTGCACTAGAGAGAAGGATCGGTGCACGCACCGAGGCCAGCGAAACCGACGGTTGCGGCGGCTCGGGGAAGTTTTGTTCCTTGCCCGGGTGCACGTGCTCGGGCTCCCCACATTAAACCGACCTTGTTTCCCAACATGACCTCGTGGGGGTGGTCAAGTAAATACCGCGAGAAGAAAGGATTAAACATCAAGTGTAAGAATGCATGATTGTTATCAAAAGGATGAGAACTGGCATATTGGCATTGTCAAAAATGCGTTCCAAAATCTAAGCATAGTATTAAGAAACAGAAAAAAAATAACTTCGCAAGGAAAATAGTGCCAAACTGTTACGGTATATATGTCCTCCTGTTGGGCACCCTGAGGCGGTGTAATGGTTAGCAAGCTCGTCTCGCTAGAACAATTAAGGCTGAATAGTGAGTTCGATCCTCACTGGGTACTCCATAATTTCGGCCTTATGCCACATCTTAGCTACGCTTGGAAAATCATTATTTAGGCACCTCGGCGTGGCATAATGGTTAGCAAGATTGTCTCATTAGAACAATTACGACTGAGTCGTGAACTCGATCCTCACTGGGTGCCCCATACCTGCGGCCTTGTGCCACATCTAAGCTACGTTTAGAAAATCAATATTTGGGCACCTCGTGGTGATGTAATGGTTAGCAAGCTTGTCTCGCTAGAACAATTACGACTGAGTAATTAGTTCGATCCTCACTGGACGCCCCTACTTTCGGCCTTGTGCCACATCTAAGCCGAGCTTTGAAAATCGCTAAATATCCTCTTGTATGACAGAGAGTGCCGGACAATCACTGCAAAAATGAACTTGAAGCAACAGAAATCTGGTTCTGCAGACGGATGTTGGGTATAAACTGGATCAAACATGTGAACAACGACATGACAGTGAATCTATCTATCTATCTATCTATCTATCTATCTATCTATCTATCTATCTGTATCATTCTATTCCTCACTATCTATCTAATTCTGATCATATCTATCTATCTATCTATCTATCTATCTATAAATCCGTTACATAGGAGATTATTTTGTTCTGTACAGATATCTATCTATCTATCTATCTATCTATCTATCTATCTATCTATCTATCTATCTATCTCATTCGGTTCATTATCTATCTATCTATCTATCTATCTATCTATCTATCTATCTATTTGTTTGAATTTATTCACATCTATCTATCTATCTATCTATCTATCTATCTATCTATCTATCTATCTATCTATCTATCTATCTATCTGTTTCAATTTATTCACATCTATCTATCTATCTATCTATCTATCAAATCAGTTACATAGAAGGAGATTATTTTGTTTCTTCGTAGTTGTAATCTCATATTTAGTACTTGTCTGAGAAAATCTTGACTTTATGACAAATTGAAGTATATTATTATTAGTGTTTAAGGGAGGAATGTTAGTGCGTGTTACAGGGAAGGGTTATTGCATTTCGGAAATTGTGGAGACATTTCACATCATCCCGTCGAAAGTATCATATTTGCATCACATATTTATCATTTTAATTACATTTTCATAGTAAAATCGTTTCTAATCCATTTTGATAGTAAAATTATTTCCTATGAATTTTGATAGTAAAAATCATTGGCCAATGCAATTTGATAGTGAAAATCATTTCCAAAGCATTTTCATAGTAAAACCATTTCCAATGCATTTTCATAGAAAGAATCATTAGACAATGTTTCAAAGTAAAAAAAAAAAAAATCCAATACATTTTCATAGTAAAAATCATTTCCAATGCATTTTCATAGTAAAAATCATTGGTCAATATATTTTCATAGTAAAAATCATTTCCAATGCATTTTCATAGTAAAAATCATTCGTCAATGCATTTTCATAGTAAAAATCATTTCCAATGCATTTTCATAGTAAACTCATTGGCAATGTATTTTCATAGTAAAAATCATTTCCAATGTATTTCCATAGTAAAAATCATTTCCAATGCATTTTAGTAATAAAATCATTTCCAATGCATTTTCATAGTAAAAATCATTTCCAATGTATTTTCATAGTAAAAATCATTTCCAATGCATTTTCATTATAAAAATCCATGGCAATGCATTTTCATAGCACCATCATTCCTAATCCATTTTGATAGAAAAATTATTTCCTATGCATTTTTATAGTAATATTTCTTACCATGTATTTTTCCAGTAAATTCACTTCAATCTTTTTTAATAGGAATATAATTTGTAATGCATTTTTATTGTAGTTATGGGCACCGAAATCATATTGTGAAATCATTGGTAATTTATTCCTGCCTATATTTTAAGGAATTGCAGTATCAATATTGTGTGTGATCATTAAATTGAATTATATCTTTCTCTTACGTGATCTATCAAGTATTACAGAAACATCTACCAAATTCAATAACAACTGAAATGAAAGGAAAGAACAAAAAATGTCTCCTGAAACGTTGTCACAGGGAAGTGAGAAAATCACGTTATTGTCCCATCAGTTTTGTCACCGCGTAAATCATTGTATCCTGCTGTAAAATCATTGTTTTATTTCATTCATTTCTCATTTTTCTAGCATGACTACGGCTTCTACTTTTTCTCTTTGCCTCGTTCTTGCCATTTTGTGCGATGTTTGTTTGGCGGGAAATCACAGCGTAATTCGTCAACATTCAGCGCCATGTTGACGTTTGTATTAAAAATGGAGTTCACGCGAATCGGTTAATTTGCTTTAGGCAATTGATATATCATCAATTTTCCTGGTCCCAGTTATTTTTAAAGAAGTTTTTTCAAAGTTATAGATCACTGACTCGAATAATAATGCGTAAATTGTTAAGAAATCATTTCTTTTTAGATTGTATCATATGGCAAACTGTCTCCAAATTTCTAAAGATGAAATGCGATAAAGAAGAAAAAGGTCATAGGAAGTAGAAAGTAATGTTTTTTTTTACATAGCCTAACATTGGGTATTATTTATTGTTCGTCTGTTTGTATAGATGTATTTATTTAAAACTTGTCCTTACTAAAAACACAAAAAATACTTTGCAAGGCAGTAAAGCCACTAAGACACAAGGGGGTTACTGAGTGAGAAAGAATTTTAAAAAATTATTCAGGAGCGAGAACAATAGAAGAGTAATCAAGAAAATGTGGATAACGATTGACACTGCATTTACATTTTTGAAGGTCAAAGTTGACTGGGAAGAAAGGTGCCGGAAGATATTTCCAAAAGCGAGAATAGCGAGCGAAAAAACTGTTAACATAGAACTTACGGTTACATCTAGCCAATTGAAGTTTGAATTGATGAGAATATGCCGACAATCTAGTACTGCACTTAAATACATGAAATATAAGTACCATGTCGAAGAATTCATCCGAATAATTACAAGGACAATATTTCTATTTCTTGAGGAATACTTGGATTTCGAGATTTTGTTCAATGTCATTCTTATCTCAAGTATCTGCATAAGACCCGCTCATCATCAGTGTACTGGCCTCAAGAGGAAAAAGGGTACTGCAATTTAATCAGGCAAATATATGGAATACAAAAAGATAATTTAATAGAAGCCAAAAGAGTGGATTTGATAGTAGCAGAAAAAAAGACAGAAAAAAAAAAATAAACGCTTGTTAACAGAAAAATAGTTTGCGAAAAAAACTACGCATTTTACATAAGTTAACTTCTTTTGTATCCGTCAGTATTTTCAAGGAAAACATAAGAAATATTCTATTGCAAAGAAGATCCTGAAGCTGCATTCAAGGATTTCTTGGCATCCAAACTTGTAGATCTTTATTTTAGTTTGTAAGAATATTTCATTTGGAGATAATAATGGTTTAGTGATACATATCTTACTAATTCATCCATAGCTGGGAGGGGAGATGATATAGATTCATACCTAATCAGAATTTGATAAACACACAAGAAACTATAATGTAGATATAAAGATGGAGATCAATTCTACATCACAATCAATATATAAATCGATCCCTCACTTTGCGACCACTGTAGTTTCTATAAATTTATATTCCAGAGAATATAAATAAAACTAAAAGACATGATTTAGTTGCTAAGCAATATTTCATTGATTCATTTTCATAGTAAAATCTTTCCCAATGTATTTTCATAGTAAAATCATTGGACAATGCATTTTCATAGTGAAATATTTCCAATGTATTTTCATAGTAAAAATCATTTCCAATGCATTTTCATAGTAAAAATCATTTCCAATGCATTTTCATAATAAAAATCATTTCCAATGCATTTTCATATTAAAAATCATTCCCAATGCATTTTCATATTAAAAATCATTTCCAATGCATTTTCATAGTAAAAATCATTTCAAATGCATTTTCATAGTAAAAATCATTCCCAATGCATTTTCATAGTAAAAATCATTTCCAATGCATTTTCATAGTAAAAATCATTTCCAATGGATTTTCATATTAAAAATCATTTCCAATGCATTTTCATAGTAAAAATCATTTTAAATGCATTTCATAATAAAAATCATTTCCAATGCGTTTTCATAGTAAAAATCATTTCCAATGCAATTTCATTTTCGTAAATTGGAAATGGACAAAGGTTCGAATCCTGTCAAAGGACGAATATTTTCTATGAAAATTTCTCGGACATTCAGGCCGGTAAATGTTATTTAATACTGTTTATTATAAACAGAGAGCATTTACTTAAATACTTGTATCTATAAAAAAGAACGTTAAACATAAAAAATGTCTTTAATAAATACATTGTTGGACTTTGTCCATTCCTTAATATATGACGTCATTTGTTTACATTTGATAAGCCAGAGCAGTTATGAATGTACGAGATTCATGGAAGATTGAAGTTTATAAGCAGAAAATTCGACCTTGCCTACCGAACGCGCCTTTGTGGCCGAGTCGGTTAAGGCACGTCAGCGTAAATGACGGTTCCGTATAGGATACAGGTTCGAATCCTGTCGGAGGACTAATATTTTCTGTGAAAATTTCTCGGACATTCAGGCCGGTAAATGTTGTTTAATACTGTTTATTATAAACAGAGCATTTACTTAAATACTTGTATCTATAAAAAAGAACTTTAAACATAAAAATGTCTTTAATATATATATATAAAAGAGAGAGAGAGAGCGAGAGATAGAGAGAGAAACAAAGAGAGATAACTACCTATATATATATATATGTTCGAAGCCGAAAATAATAAATAAATATATAAAACAAAAAATAAATGTAAATAAAAACAAGTAAAATAAGTTAACCCAAGTAAATAAATAAACAAACCACTCCCGCCAAAACAACCGTCAGAATGGACTACCCACGATGCACCACTGACCTGTATATATAAATAGTCGAGAAAAAACACAACGACGACTGCGTCTATCATAAAACAGCCTGTCGCCTCTGAGTGTTGACTTCAATATATATATCAGCTAGTAATCTATCTATCTAATTCAAGCTGGAACTGAGGACCAAGTTCAGCCTGCCTTCCCAGCTGCTAGAAGAAACAGTAGAAGAACATTGAAACGTGCTACGCGATACCTGGAAGACAACATGTCAGACAGTCCTTGGGCTGAAAACAAGGAAACACAAAGTATGGTTGACAACAGAAACATGGGCATTGATTACCGAGAGAGAAGAACTGAAAGACCAGATCAACCGGATCCAAGACCCAGAAGAGATGCAGGAATTGCAAGCACGCTATTGCGAGAAGAACCGAGAAGTGAAGGGAAGGGCGAGAAAAGACAAGAGAACCGTTATTGAGGACCTGTCCCAGGAAGTAGTGACTGCAGCGGGCCGAAGATACATGAAAAGGCTGTAGGAAATCACAAGAACTCTTTCTTAAACAGTAAACCCAGTCACCCCGTCAAAGACCAGAATGGCAGTACCACCTCTGGAAAAGAGGAACAGAGAGCAAAATGGGCGGAATAGTTCTAGGAAAGAACAAACCACTCACGCCAAAATAACCGTCAGAATGGACTACCCACTGGCACCATCTGTTCCACCAATCATTTCACCACCTACCAAACACCTCGACATTAACACTGTCCCCCCTACCAAGAATGAGATCACCAAGGCCATCAAGTCTCTTAAGTCGGGCAAAGCAGCGATCCCTGACGGTAGAGCACCTGAAGCATTGAAGGCAGTCATCCAGACTTCAACTGACATGCTGCACCCACTCCTGCACAACATCTGAGAACAAGAAAGAGTGCCTGAAGATTGGAAGAAAAGCGACCTTGTGAAACTGCCGAAGAAAGGGGCCGTGTCATCCTGCAACAACTGGAGAGGTTTTATGCTGATCTCCATCCCGGGGAAAGTACTGACAAGAAGGCGACATTGGACGCTTCGGGAAGAACAGGCAGACTTTCGGTAACATAAGGCGCATCATCATCAAACAGTCCCTGGAATGACAGACCACCGTGTACTCAGTTTTCGTCGACTTTCAGAAAGCTTTTGATAGTGTCGACAGAGACGTCATCTGGAGACTGATGAAGCACTGCGGCTTTCCACCAAAGTTCGTCCCAGTCATCCAACAGACTGTATGAAGATGCCACCTGTCAAGTCATCCATGGCGGGAAGCTGACGGGAGAATTCTCCGTGCAAACTGGCGTTCGTCAGAGATGTCTGCTGTCGCCTGCTGGTGGTCGACTGGATAATGCGTCAAGCTACGACAGGCGGGAGAACTGGGTTACAGTGGACCTTCATGAAACAGCTGGAAGATCTGGACTTCGCAGACGATATCAGTATTCTCTTCCACAAACGAAAGAGAACCTTCTGTACGACCTATATCTCTATCTATAAAAGGCAGGATGTGTGTGTGTGTGTGTGTGTGTAACGAATGCACGGCCGCAATAATTTTCGACGGATTTGCACCAAAATTTACATGCACATGCTCCAAGTTAGCGAAAAGGCCAAGACCGGCTTTGCATTTCCCAACTCTCATCGATAGTGGAAATAATCGATTTTATCACGCTTCTAAGGCAGTTTTCATGTAGTTTGCGGACATTTTGTACTGGCCACAGTGAGAGCCAATAGCGAATAGGCAGGAAGATTCTATTGGCCAGCGTGAGAGTCAGCAGCTGGCCGACACGAATGTTAACTAGCATGCTAGCATGCAAAAAAAAATCGATAGCTGCATTTGTCACAAGTGGGGAAAAATTTAAATCTGCATCACTGTAAATGACTTTACTCCAATTGGCTAATTCACTTGCTTAAACTCAACATTGATTCTGATTCCGCAGAACTGGTTTGGGTGTGAAAAAGTATTTGTTAACATTCTTTTTTCATTCGGTTTTTCCAGTTACGAGTCCTTTTTTTAAAGCTGATCGTTTTGTGTTCATTTTGTTTAGTTCTTTTTTCGTAACAGATTTAATGTTTAGTCTAGAGCTTAGAAAATATTCACAGTGTAAGAAGTAAGGCATGTAGCAACATCAGCACGGCAAAGGGAACTCCTTTAAAGGCAAGGAAGGGCAAAAATATTTTAAGCCAAGTGATAGCGATTGCTGGATGAGTCGTACGATTTTTGAATCAAGCATGGGCAACGCCGGGCCATGCTGCTAGTACGTTTTAAAGTTAGGATGTTTGTCTCCGTTGGTAGTTGCATAATTAAAAGAAAAAAAAATTGTCGTTCCAAAGAATGATTTATTTTATGGAAATATTTCGACTAGCAGTTCAAAGCCTTGGCCACTTTTTAATTTGTGTAAAAACAGTGGAAAGAAGTTCGAAACGCTTAAGAATTTAAATCAAGGAAAATAAATCGGGTTGATGACCTTTACAGCTTTACATGACCTTTGAATTTTTGAGGGGTTTTTGCCTTTTTTTCCATATCATAATTTTCTTTTGCGCAAAGATGTCCAGACAGATTGGAGTTGTGCTGTATCTATCCTATTGCAGACATGTTTTGTAGTTGCTCTTACCATTTGTTCAGCTACTCTTCTTTGATTGAAACGCTTTTGGTTCCGGATGGTCCAAGTCAATTCTGTGACCTTCAGTAATGGAATGTAATGCAATCGCTGAAGTTTTTTTTGCTTCCAGTTTTTGTTTTAATTAAAGAGTGACCAAGACTGGTAACTGCTAGTCGAAATATTTCCATAAAAAATAAATCATACGTTGGAATTAATTTTTTTTTCTTTTAATTATATATACGTTTTATTTTGACCATTAATATCAGTTAAACATCTTTTAAGCGTAGATGGTATAATCATGGATCTTCGTTTAAGCTAGCAAATCATAGATACTCCACCAAACCACACGGACCTATTTGTAAGGGGGGAAATTTTTTTAAAAAAAGATAAAACCATACCCGCATTTGCAACATTTGTTAACATGAGAAATTAGAGATTATGACATTTTCAGATCACCAAAAATACTTTTAAACCAGAAATCTGGAATCTTCAGTCTTCAGTGAATATAAAACGGATAAAAAAAAATAATATAAACCCCAATGTTATATTTACAATACGTTTGCTTTCCCTCCCCACACTTCCTTACATTTGCTTTTCTTCTTTTTTGTATACATTTACGATGCACTTTCTTTCCTCTTCTTTTCTTCTTCTTCTTCTTCTTCTTCTTCTTCTTCTCCTCCTCCTCCTCCTCCTTCTTCTTCTTCTTCCATAACGCCTTCTTTCTATTACACTCAGCATTATGCCTTTGACTGTCTTGCGTTTCTTTATTTTTGAGAAATAATAATGCAGCTTTCTTTTTCTTTTTTTAATAAAGCGCAGGATGGTCATTTGATATACATCGCCCGATGAGGCCGTGAGGTCGAAACCAAAGTCCTGGACTCAACTAACCTCCTAATTTTAAAAGTTAAATGTTCTACGTGTTAGTTTTACATTTATTTTTACTTTCACACGTGTATTGAGCACTGTTTATACTACTGTTTCTGGTTTGATTCAACACTGATCATTAACCATTTATGCATTATCTATCTATCTATCTATCTATCTATCTATCTATCTATCTATCTATCTATCTATCTATCTATCTATCTATCTATCTATCTATCTATCTATCTATCTATCTATCTATCTATCTATCTATCTATCTATGAGGCACGGTGGAGCAGTGGTTAGCGGCTTGGATTGAGGAATCGCAGAGCCGAGTTCGAATTCCAGTCGAATCCACTGCATTCACTTACGTGCTAATACCCTTGGGAAAGGTATGTATCCTCTTCATCTCCCTCCAGCTATGGGTAAAATAGCAGAACAGACTGGGTTCTATAGCCTTGGATGGCAACTGGTCTAGGAGAAGGACAACTCTGAATTCAAAACCTGCGGAGGGTCGTTTGGGAACCTTGTGGCATGCATTCGGTGCACCAGGTTTCTGTATTCGTCCCTCCAAAAAAGTGTGGCTGGTCCTGCACAAGGCCTTCACCACTATAAACAAATCTCATGTGCCGGTGTCGGGATGTCGGTTTCCTGGGGACTTGTCGGCCTGACCCTCATACGTCGAACGGGAGAGTCGATTATATATATATATATATATATAAATAGGCTGCGCTTTTTCTGCCTGTTTCTCAGCCTATCTCATTCTATTCATATCTATCTATCTATCTCATTCTATTCATATCTATCTAAGTTTGCTATTTCTTGATATTGGCTTCTGATTCCCCTTGATAGACTCTATGTTCATATATTCATTTCAGTCTATTCATATCTATCTATCTCCATTTCAGCCTGCTCATTTTTATCTATCTATCTATCTTAGTCTATTCATATCTATCTGTCTATCTGTGTTTGGTAAATAATGATTGTCTACGTATGCTTCTTATAATATATAGATATAGTAGGCTGACTACACACACACACTTATATATATATATATATATATATATATATATAGCATCCTGAAAAAATGTATATTTAGATTTGAAGCATCTTATAAACACTCTAAAAAGTTTTTTATTCACTCAACGCAAATATGAGTACAAACTTCATTCATTTTATGTTTTCACAACCACTTATTTATTCAAGCGAGTATATTTACATACTTCCACGTGTATATATGCATAAACCAAATTCACAGGCCTCCATGTTCACAGGCAAATGCATTTTCGATTTTGTTCTTTCGTTTACACTACTCGTCGCCATCTTGTCTTCATTCGGCAGCGCGAGATTTGCGTCTCACTATCGAGATTATCAATCTCCACTTCGCTTACCCCTGCCACTGCCGACACCTTTCCCGTCTTCTTTTTCTAATTCGTATTCCTTCTTCCTTCAGCGTTGCATCTGCAATCCTTAATCAACCCACAGTCCTAGAAACGAAGCGTTTCGTCTCTTTATCTGCTCAGATGGTTACTGTTCGTTCTCAGATTCCGTTCACCTCGATTTCGCCTTTTTCATACACTCGGCCAGCACCCACACCCACACCCACCTTAATCACCACCGCCTACCCCAGCGTCCGCCAATCAGTGCGTATGCGTGTTCTTGTTGCCTTCATTTTTTTTTTCATCTCCCTCGCTTCGCCATTTGCTTAGAGGAATGATACGGCGACAGATTTCTATATAGCCGCCTGTTGCGATTGGATGAGTCGAGAATGCAAGCCCTTCAGGATTTGAGAAAGCCGCGAAGAATGGTAAGGGGAAGCGGCGGTTGGAAGAAAGCTGGTGGTCGGAGTAAAAAGAAAAGTCGAAGGTCTATAAAGACATCAGTGGTACGACAACGCACAAGGCCGAAGAAAGACACTCATGCATGAAATCATAACTAAACAACTGTGTCAACATCTACACAAAGATATTATAATTTATCTACAGGTACACACAAGCATTATCCATATATATATATATATATATATATATATATATATATATATATATATATATATATATATATATATATAGTCTTAAGGTGTGCTAAAGTGCTCAATATCAGAGATAGAGCGTGTGTAAATATAAAAGTTAATATACGTTTACTTTTATATATATATATATATATATATATATATATATATATATAATTTAAATAAAAACAGACCACTTTAAGGTTCCATGTAATAAATTATTTCACCACACAGCCCTTTTAAAGGACTGCGGATCATCAGACTTTACTTCTAAAGGTTGAAACGAAAAATGAAAAGAAATTTACACATTTTTGACGGACAGTATTAAGCATATGTAAATTAACGAAGTGAGGAAGTGAGTGGGGAGAGAGAAGTTAGAAGTAATTTAATATTTCTATTCTTTCATACTTAAAATTACTTGAGGAGGTTTAGACATTGACACATTTAAACGGTTAACTTAACGGAAGTTATATGTTGATATAGAAGGGGTAGAGGAGAAAAAAGACAAAAAGAAAAAGAGAGAAGGAAGTCATGAGAGGAGGTGTCACTAATTTTCTTTGGAAAGAACAGCCTAGAAAAAGACGCTGTCATTTTGTTTTTACTTTGAAAGTGTTATTTTGGGGCTTCATAAAGATTATAATGTTTCATATAAATTTGAATGTCTAAACTGTACAAAGAATTTACTTTGATGTTTTTTAGTGATTTAATTTGTTTTTAAAATTTTTGGGATTTTCTAATCGATTAGAAAAAATATTCATAGAAAGCACATTAAAAAATAAAATTTGATTTTAAAATAGAAGTTTACTTCTAGTAATCTTTTTTATTTTTTAAATTTTTTTATTATTGATTATTACGTTGACATCTCTATCCGTTTGAATTTTGTTCATGAATTTAACTCGTGACTGTTTCTAGATAGGTAATCTCTTTTACTTAAATTTTAGTTAATGTGCGTGTGTGTGTGTGTATGTGTGTGATAAAAATATAGTTTTAAGGTATAATATATTCATGGATAAAAGTGATCAATATTAGGGATAGAGCGCATGTAAATATAAAATACAAAAGTGGACACTGATGTCAAAATGTGAAGGGTTCTGGAAACAGAGAACCTGCGCACTCAAAACATTCTTTACAAATAGTAAATACGCGAATAGCACAATTCTTTCTCAACATATGTGGGAAATAAAAGACACAACTCAAATTACAAGAAAAATCTCGTAGAAAATAAGGAAAACAGCGTCAGCCTACACGAATAAATCCACTTGGAAGAAAAAATAGCAATAATCACCTTGCCAGACCAACCCAAAGATGCGAACTTATTTCAAAATGCAGGCATGAAAACAGTTTTTACTTCGTTATTTAAACGTCGAAAGCTAAAAGTGGATACCTTTTCAAATTCCGCTATGAAAAATGCAAGTATATGAACAACACAGATAATGTAATATACTTTAGACAAAGCCTATTACTTATACTAAACAAATACGGTAACCAAGTACTAAGTAAATAAATAAACAAAAATATAAACAAATTAGTATATTATGTAAATAATAAACAAATTAAGAAACGGCGAATGAACAAATAAACACAAGTAAAGGGATTAATAATAATAATAATCAACAAACAAGTAATCAATAATAAATAACAAGTAATAACGTAACAACACTATAAAATAGCTACACAACACGGCATTCGGATCCACAATTATTTCCACCCAATAGGTGGCACGGTAGAGTAATGGATAGTGGCTCAGATTAAGGAATCAGAGTTCGAATTCCAGTCGAATGCATTACATTCACTTAGGTGCTAATACCTTTGGGAAAGGTATGAATCCTCTTCTTCTCCCCGCTCCTTTACCGTTGTAGAAGAGAATATAAAGGTAAAAAAGTCCGTAAAGCTGAAGGAGCTTCAAAAAGCCGTAGTGAGGTTTGAGGCTATGAAATCGGACATGGCTGATCATGTACGAAGAGAGAGTTGCGATCATCATCCCTTGTAGAATAAAGTGAAAATACTGGACACTGACGAACACTGGAAAGCTATACGTCTTACAGAATCGTTGCATATGCTAGGCGATGAAGCCCTCATTTGCCTGGCATGTGCACCCAGTAGAAAAGAAATAAATACAACATGGGAGCAGCTAATAAAGAAAGACATATGATTGCAGGTTTTCAGCAACAGCAGCAGCAGTCGAAACATGATAAGCATCAGCTGCACCACTAATCAACATGCAGGTTAGTTTTAAGGCTCCAAGTTCCCTACAGAAAATTATATAGTGAATTAAAGAGATGGTTCGTAACTTTGGTGACAAAGTAAATGTGAGTTCAATCCCTGGACCGGGCAGTGTGTACGTAGACTCAATGAGAACAAGGCGAATAATAACTGAGCAGTACTAAAAATAAGAACAAAACGAGATATCAGACATGGACAGTAAAACCAGAACAATTTACCCTCGGAGATTAAATAAAGGGTACAGTTCAGAATTCTTTGTAGGTGACCCAGACCGATATACACCTGATAACAACAACAAAGATGAGGATCAGTCGGTTATGTGCCATGCGTGATACGTACTTAGGCGATCATGCATCTTTCGATAGATTTTTTTCCCGCAGTAGGTTGCCATTTCTTTCTGCGGTAGACTAGTTGCCATCAAAGGCTATAGAACCCAGTATGTCCTGCTATTTATCCATGGGGGAGAAGATGATTCATACCTTTCCCAAGAGTATTAGGCACGTAAGTGAATGTAATGGATTCGACTAGGATTCGAACTCGGCTCTCCGATTCCTCAATTCGAGCCGCTATCCATAGCTCCACCGTGGTCAGAATATAAATAGTGAAAATAATCCCAGTATTTTTTTATTATATTTTGAGAATCCTTTATCAAAGATTCTTGGGACCGGAAGTGCTTGGGTTTTGGAATACAGGATATTTAATATGTATATAGCATCTATAAAAGCGTGGGAAGAGAAATCAAGCATAAAGACGATAATAACGACGATATTACTTTATATTTCATAACACAGCTTATATATAAAGCTGAAGGTAGTTTTATATTTGTTATGGTCCTGTTCCTTGTACCACGGTGATAGTCCAAGGTAGAACCAATAAAGAAGAACTCGAACACAGATATGGAATAACACAGATATATTACAAACAGGAATATATACAGAGAAAGTAGAATGTGTTAGTACGAACAATCAGGTTTAGTAGTAATTGTCTGAACGCGACTCTGTTTGGACTCGACTGTCAGACTCCTGCCGAACTTCGCTCCAGACTTCAGACTGAACTCAGACTTCAGACGGAACTGAGACTTCAGGCGGAACGGTATTTAGCCCCCCCTCCCAACGAGGGCATCATGTGCCACAAGACCGGTTTAACGTGGGATCTCCGAGCCCGTGGGCTTGGCCAAAAATATGCCCTTTGAACACGTATAAACGCGTTCAGGGTCGGTTTACCTCCCAGAAAGAGACTCCGCCTTTCGGCGTAGCCTCGTCGGGTTCCTCTCCACCCGAAGGCAGAGAGTTCAACCGATCAGCCGGTCGCCCGACTTCAGACTGAACTCTCTGCTTCCTCTTGAGGCGCAGTATTTATTACGTATGGAATAGTCCATTATGTTATTATGGGTAAGGTCCCATAACAATATTTTACCATTGCGTGACCATTGTGCTAGGAAACAGTCTACTGGATTAAAGCATTGTTTTGTGAATTTGGTAACACAGTGATTGCAAGTTCAATCCCTGAGCCAGGTGTATACTTGGACTCAGTTGAAATAGGAGAGCTATAAAAGTACAGTACTAAAAAAAAGAACTACATAAAATCAGGCCCCTCGTCTGCAGTCACTTTCTCACAGACGCGCCGTCGCCTCTCTCTGTCTTTTTTACAAATACTTTCATGGTAATTGCTCCGAGGAGCTGCTTTCACTGGTTCCCAGACTTCATGAATTCAAGCGTCTTACGAGGCTGGCATCCCGCTCTCACCCTTTCACTGTTGAAACTGTTAAATGTAGCCGTCTCTTCTACTCCAATAGCTTCATATCTCGCACCTCTCGCCTGTGGAACTCCCTTCCCTATTCCGGTTTCCCTGAGAGCTATAATCTCCAGCTATTCAAATGTAATGTCAATCGACATCTCCAGTTGCCTTGATCTATCCACTATCCTTCTCCTCATCCTTTCCTCTATCACTCCTATCTGATCTTGCTCCAAATCTTCTGTAACCCCTTGCGTGCTAGTGGCTTCCAGCCTTGCTTGGGGTGAAAGTCTACTGGATTAAAGCATTGGTTTGTGATTTTGGTAACAGTGATTGAGAGTTCAATCCCTGAGCCAGGAGGTGTATACTTGGACTCAGTTGAAATAGGTGAGCAATAAAAGTATAGTACTAAGGATAAGAACTAGATGAAATATCACTAGACATGGGCAGTGGAACAAGAACAGTCTAGATTAAATAAAGGACATTTTCAGCAAACTTGGATCTTGGAGAAGGCATGAACCCATCCGTTTCCCCCAAATTATATAAATTATAGGATCTGTATCATTAAATAATTATCTCTCAAAAAAGTCTGACAATTTAAAAATATTTTCTGAGTTGGTAATAACCGGAAAAGGGGTGATAACCTGTAAAAATGAATCAATCAATAACGATACAGTTAAATTTTAAAATGAAGACATCGAGTCGAAAAAGTGTGTTTAGAATTTTCATGGAATATCATTCTGAAAAACCTAAATTTTATAATTTCCCTTACACCCACAAAAGTTATCCCGATGTGCCTCAAAATCCCAGGAATAGACAGCCTCACCCCTACAAACTGGGGAAGGCCATAACAAAAATTCTAAATCCTCTCCCAGCTTAGTTGAAAAAAATAAGGGAAAT